GAGCGGGGCACAAACCATCACGAGCAGCCCAGCTCCCACAGCCGAGAATGTCGTGCAGACTGCATCGCTCTGTAAACCAGGCCGTTTTATGTGGGGCACACACAGGCCGTTGTCTTCAGCTTTCCCTTCAGACAAGGCCATTTTTCTGCTGGCGTTTGACTTGCAAAGAGAGAGGGGGACGTGCACGCAGCGGCTGTTTCGCTCAGCCCTGGCATTAAACAGCTCTGGCAGGTTTGAGAGGTCGTTTTTAGCCAAAAGCAGTCGTTGTGCAGTTTTTCTTTGGTGACGCTGACCCGCAGAGGAGGACCCGCGTGCTTTGTCTGCGATTGGCATTCGGGAGCGGTGCGCCCCAAAGCGTGGGAGGGCTCCGGTGTCGCGGCTGGGCAGGCCCCAGATCGGGTTTATTTTCCTGAGCAAGAGCAGGACGGAGGCGACGTCCCCTCTGCTGTTAAAAACCACAGGCAATTCATCCGGGCAGGAAATGCACCCACTGATGGGCGGTCAGTGCGTTGCTGTGCCGGCCCGAAGCCTGGCCAGGCTGCTGCTCTTGTCTCTTTTCCTTTGTTTTAATTAAAAGTGGCCTTCTGTAACTAAAGAATAAAAGAAACAAAAAAAGGTAAAACGCCTTTGAGTGGTTTAGGTGGAGGTGAGAGTATTGCTGCTCGTGTCAGTGTTGGTGTGATTGTTCGTATGCACGCCTGTTTATATACGTGTAGACATCCAATGCAAGACTTGGTCGTGTCTCCGATTTTCGTATGTAGCCTGTGTCTCTTCTGGACTGGTTTGCATCCCGAGTGAATCTTTTGCTTTAAAAAAAAAAAAATAATTAAAATAATAAAAAGGTGTGAAAATTGTTGCGGGTCGGGTGGGGACGAGGGGCGTTCGGAGACCTCTCCTTTTGGCAGGGCCGGGGAGAAGATGCGATTTGCCCGGCGTGGCCACGCGGCTGGGGCTGCTTTGCCCTGTGCTTTCTGTGATGTGTGCTGCTGTCCCCGGCCAAGGGGGTGCATCAGTTGAGCTCCGCCGGCTCAGTCCCGTTGGCTTTCGGCACTCACTAATGCGTAATTCGGCTGCAGCGGCGCTGAGCAGGGACCTGGCTGCCCTACGGCTGCTGGGACAGCGTGGAGGCCGCAGCAGCGCAGCACCTCGCAGGTCAGGCTCCTCTTGGGCTCTGCGTCTGTTTTCTTCATTTCAGTCTTACTTTAATTCTCAGAGACACTGGAATGAGGAAAGGAAAACTCTCATAGCCTGTTTGCCATCCCTTGTTATCATTTTGAACGGATTAAAGTTGATGATAACACTGCTTTTTTAGATTATTTCCTTCCTTAGTCAAACATCGGTGGTTAGGAACAGATGTTCAGAGTCAAGGAAAACGGGTTGTGGATAGGGTCAGTGGTGGCATCTTTCTCTTCGTGTCATATGGAGCTTAAAAATAATGATCCAGAACTGGACTTCTTGCAGTGCCAGCCCAAGCACAGCTGGGGAGGCGCAGCCTTGGCGAGCGCTGTGTGTGGCTCTTCCCATGCTCCTCGCCCGGAGCTGCCGCACAGCAAACACGAGGGCCCTGCTCTCGGTCATTCCCCGCTGCCCTGCGTGGCCAGCGCGGGGACGGTGCTGTCCTGCACTGGAATTGGTATTTTCACCGGCCGTGGAACACTGGTTTGCTCCCTCAGTGGGACTGCGTGGCTCTGCTGTAGATCCGGATGAGGCCCGTGAACTCGCACCCTCTCTTTGTGCTGCGAGGATGAATTTGGAGGAGCACTGGTGGTGGCCGCAGAGCCCGCGGAGGAGGAGCCTGTGTCAGCTCCTGCTTCCAGGGAAACTCCCCAGGCTCCCACTCCCCTCTGCGCTGGGCTGGGAGCCCTGCATGGCCAACAACCCCTGCTGTACGCTTCCAGACCAGAAATCCTGTCCGAATGCCTTACGGATTTGCCTTAACGATCTGATCCAAATGAGCGTTTCCTGACAGAGTGGGAAATCAAGTTCTGATTGCATCCACCTCGCCATTTACTTGCGTCTGGTCATGCACCAGCCTGGGCTGGGTGAGGAGCCCTGGTGGGAGTGGGGAACCTCCCGTCCCTGCTGCCAGGGTCCCCGTGTCTCTCGCTGTGCGTCACCACCCTCCCGGATTAAAGCATTTCCCATGGTCCTGGCTGCCCCTTTGCATCAGGAATGTCTTGCTGAGGATGCCGGTTGTAAGCGCAGAGTCGCTGCCAGCGCTGGGCACCGAGTCCAAGCCCCGGAGACCCCTTTGGCTCCCACACACATCACAGCAAAGCCACCGCGTCCGCACTCACCGGGCAAACGCAGTCTTTGTTTACAGTGAGGACGTGTCACTGTGTTACCAATTTATTGAAATACTAAATATTGAAAACCCTAGACTGTAAATATTTTTATGTGTTTGGATACATCTGCTATGTGAAAAAAAACAAATAATTTTGTACATATTGTATTTTTACTATTCAGCTGTACTATACTGGCTCTTCATGCTCCAGAATTTAGGTACCCGACATGAATAATATCCATGTAATAAGCACTTGCCTGAAATAAATATAAAACTGAAATAAACATGCACTGAAAGCTGAAATAGGATTCTGCATTCTCCTCCTTGTGCTTTGCATGCAGATATTTCACTTTATTTGCAATTTTCCGGTTATAGAGCAGTGCATTCTCTCCGCACGTGGCCATGGCTGCCCCTCCACGTCTGTCGCTGCTCCGCGGGTCTGGACCTGTCCCAGACCAAGCTCAGAGCTTCTCCCATGTGTGTCCCTGCACCAGGCAGTGCCGTGCTGTGGGTGAAGCCAGCGCCTTTGCAGCCTCCAGAACTGGTGAAAACTTGGAAAATGGTGCCCTGAGATCCTGAGGGGTCCCACCAGGCCACTGCGGTGACCGTGTCTGTGGCCATGACCGTGGCCATCAGGTGAGGGTCCCTGACACTGGTGGCACTGTCCCAGCCCCCTTCGGCAGCCGGGCCCAGGCCAGGGCTCCCCTCCGCGGTGCTCAGGGAGGGGGCCTGCTCCTGTGGGATGTGGCCCTGGGAGGCTGAGCCTCCTCAGGTCTGGCCGCTCTCCACCAGGCCACTGCGGTGACCGTGTCTGTGGCCATGACCGTGGCCATCAGGTGAGGGTCCCTGACACTGGTGGCACTGTCCCAGCCCCCTTCGGCAGCCGGGCCCAGGCCAGGGCTCCCCTCCGCGGTGCTCAGGGAGGGGGCCTGCTCCTGTGGGATGTGGCCCTGGGAGGCTGAGCCTCCTCAGGTCTGGCCGCTCTCTCCCGTAGGTGCT